AGAATAGACTTTACATGAAATGGATTTCCTGTAGTTTAGATTAAACCACCCGCTCTGGTATAGTCTTCTGTTCCTGAGAACCACAGCCCCAGTTCCTGATTTAGGGGCCAGACTAAGGAAGGGTGTGCTAGAAGGAGTGCTCTGTGCAAAAGACGGAGCTGGAATGAGGAAACGACAGCCCTTCTACTGGACAGTACCACTCACGGAGGGTGAGGGGGACATAGAGGAGATGTGTCCCAAAGAGCCAGAAATATTGACAGTTTGGTGGGGCAAGAAGTCATCTTTCCATCCATCCATCCTTCCATTCACCCACCCACCCATCCATCCATCCATCCACTCATCCATCCATCCATCCACCCACCCATCCCACCACCACCCGCCATCCATCCACCCACCCACCTGCCCATCCATCCATCCACCCACCCATCCATCCATCCTTCCATCCATACACCCTTCCATCCATACATCCATCCATCATCCATCCATCCATTGATCCATCCATCCACCCACCCATCCATCCACCCACCCACCCGCCATCCATCCATCCACCCACCCATCCATCCATCCTTCCATCCATACACCCATCCATACATCCATCCATCATCCATCCATCCATTGATCCATCCATCCACCCACCCATCCATCCACCCACCACCCGCCCATCCATCCATCCACCCACCCATCCATCCATCCTTCCATCCATACACCCTTCCATCCATACATCCATCCATCATCCATCCATCCATTGATCCATCCATCCACCCACCCATCCATCCACCCACCCACCCATCCATCCATCCACCCACCCATCCATACACCCATCCATACACCCATCCATCCATCCTTCCATCCATACACCCTTCCATCCATTCACCCACCCATCCATCCATCCATCCATCCATCCATCCACCCATCCATACACCCATCCATACACCCATCCATCCAATCATTCATATTGATTCAGTCCACAGTCGAATAGAGTGACAGACAGAAAAGCCAGTAATAACAGTCCAATGTGGTCAGTGCAAGGATGGGGCACCTGATCTAGCAAGAGGTTTGGTGGAGTGTCTTGTCCTGGAGGAGGTGATGTCTAACTTGAGACTTGGAAGGCAAGCAGCACTTAGGCCAGGAGGCAGGGAAAGCATCTCATCCTGAAGGAACCAAATAGCCTCTGCCTACACCTGACCTTCAGGGTCCAGAGCAGCTCCGTGGAGCTGAAGCAGGAGCCCAGGAAGGAGGGGTGAAAGGTCAGCTTCCATACCATGTCATCTGCAAAGAATGGTCGTTTCATTTCTTTTCCAACTTAGATTCCCTCTCTTTCCTGTTCTTGTCTGATAGTTCTAGACCAAAACCTCTAACACTAATTTAAACAAAAGTGGTGACAATTAAGTATCCTTTTTTTGATCCTGATCATAGGGGAAAGCTTTCAGTTTTTCATCATGAGGTGTTAAATTGGTCGTTGGTTTGTGATACACAACCCTTAGTCTATGGATGTCGTTCCTTCTATTTTCATTCTGTTTATATTTTCCATCATAAATGGGTGATGAATTTTTATCAAATGCCTTCTCTGTATCTATTAATGTTAAATCATGATTCTTATTTTTGTGTTGATCTGATGTATTACTTTGGCTGATTTGTATCCCTGGGATAAATCCTGTTTGATTATGGTGTATAATCCTTGTGATCAGATTGTTAAATTCAGTTTTCTAGTATCTTGTTGAAGATTTTTGTGTCCATGGTCATCAGGAATATTGGACTGTATTTTTTTGTGTGTTGTCTTTATTTGGTTTGGGCATTAGGGTAACACTGGCATCATAAAATGCTTTAGGAAGAGTTCTCTCTTCTTGTATTTTTAAAAACAATTTGAGCAAGATGAGCATTAGTTCTTCTTTAAAGGTCTGATAAAATTCATTTGTCAGACTGGTCCTGGGCTTTCGTTTTGGGAAGATTTTTTTATTGCTATTTCAATTTCCATGTTTCATTCAACTCATCTGTTTCTTCCTGGGTTAGTCTTGGTAGACTGTATTGATGCAGAAATTTTTCCATTTTTTCAAGGTTATTGAATTTATTGAAATATAGCTGTTCATAGTAATTTCTTATGATCCTTTATACTTTGATGCTACCTATGGTGATCTCTCCTCTTTAATTTGTGATTCTATTTATTAATGTTTTCTCTTTTTTCTTTGTTAACCTAGTTAAAGGTTTGTCTATTTTGCTTATCTTCTCAAAAAACCAACTTTAGTTTCATTGATTTTTTTGTATAGTCTCTTTTATCTCTATTTTATTTATTTCTGCTCTTATTTTTATATTTCTTTCTTTCTACTTACTTGGATCTTGTTTGTTCCTCTTTTTCAAGTTGCTTTAGGTGTACTATTAGGGTTTTTATTTGAGATTTTTCATGCTTCTTAATGTCGGCTTGTACTGCAATTATTGTCCCTCTGAAGAGTGCTTTTGCAACATCCCACAGATTCTGGTAGGTCGTATTCACCTTTCCATTTATCTCACGGTATTTTTTTTTATTTCTTCCTTAGTTTCCTCTTTTATCCAATAGTTATTAAGTAGCACATTGTTTAGTCTCCCTGTATTCATAGGTTTTCCTGTTGTTGTTTTTTTTTTTTTTTTCTCTTATACCTGATATCTAACTATGGCACTATGGCCAGAGAAAGTACTTGGTATAATTTCAATCTTTGTAGGTTTATTAACAATTTACTTGTGTCCCAAAGTATGGTGTATTCTTGAAAAATGTTCCATGTGCACTTGAAAAAAATATGTATGCAGAGGGGTTTGGGCGCAATGTTCTATAAATGTCTATTAGACTGATTTGGTCAGCTCCTCATTTAAAGCTACTGCTTCCTTATTTAGTCTCTGTTTTGTTGATCTGTCTATAGTTGTAAGTGGAGACATTTTCATCTAAAGATATTTACCAAACCCAAAGGGACTTTCCCTTTGATAGCTGTGACAAAACCAAGGACAGAAACAAAAGCCAGGGACCTACAGTAGAAGATTCTCTCCACAGTCAGCTGGGACCCCACGGCTGTCTCTTCAGCAAGAGGGTAACCAGAAGTGAGCAAGCCCTTCTGAGAACCTACATCTGGCTATGAATGACTCAGGTCTTCTAGGGAACCTCAAGCTCCAGTTAAGGGGGATCCAGGGCCTCCCTGGTGGCGCAGGCAGTTGAGAGCCGCACTGTGAAGCTGTCCGCCGCCTCTGCAGCGCCGGTTTGATCCCAGCCAGCGAGAATCCCACATGGCGCAGCAGACCTCTCCTGTCTCGCCCGCTGCTCTCCTCAGCAGGGTATTTCAGTAGATCTCCCTGTTCTGCTCCCCACTGTCTCTGGTGAATCTTCTCATCCTCCCACATGTCTGGCCTGTACCCCAGCTCTTGTATAAATAAATAAAATCTTTTAAAAAAATAAATAAGGGGGGTCCAGACAGGCAATACACACAAGTGCGTGGCAGGAGCAAGTACCTTCCTCTCTGGGGGAAGGTAACTTCATGCCATGCCTTAAATTATCCCTGTGCTTAAGTTTTCAAACGCTATGACCAATGTGCAAACAGAACTGTGCCCATAAGGAAATAAGACACCATGAGAAAGAAAAACAAAACACTAGAAACATATTAAAAGGGTTTCTGGACCCAAATCCATCATGACTATGTGGAGAGGCTTCCCCAAATCAACAACAGTTCTTAGAAATCAGCCAGGTGTCCAGGAATTCTACTCAATTCCATGCTCTCAACCTGGACATAGCCTCAGAGTCCATGGGTGGAGGGCTCAGTCTCTCACGCTGCCTTCTGCTCAGCGGCCTGCTTGCTCTCTAGATTGCTGATACTCTAATCACATGCAGCTCAGGAACAGCCGGATGGAAGAGACACTCAGGGCCAGTTATGGGGAAAGGATGTGGGATTTCCATGCCCTCCCCAGGGAGCCACTCCCCTAGCACCTCCACATGAGCTCTTTCAAGCCCTCTTTTTGGGCTTTTATGGAGGCCTTAAACATAGCTGATTAAACCACTGGCCATTGGCAATTGATTCAATCTCCAGTCTTCCTTCTCCCTTGCCTAAGAGGGTAGTACTGGAAGTTCCAACCTTCTGATCACATGGCTGGTTCCCCTGGAAACTAGCACTCACCCTTTGGGGCTTCCAAAATTCACCTCAGTCACATAACAAGAGATCCCTTTATCACTCTCAGCACTAGGAAATTCCAAGGGTTTGGGGACTGTGAATCAGGAACTATGGGAAAAGACCAAATATCTAGACATGTATTTTGTCACCTGAGTAACAGAATATGTATTTCTTATCAATCACAGTATCACACATACCCACAAAAGTTTCAGATCTTGGAATCAGCATAAAACAATTAAGTTTACTATGCTTTAAAAAATACAAAGACAAACTTGAAGCATTACCAATCACATAAAAGTATTTAAAATGGCATATTAAATTGATGGGGGAAAAACTAGGTCTAGAAATGAGCAGTATGATAACTGAAATAAAATTCAGAAGCTTGATTTCTTGATCTGTTGGTGAAGGCCCAAGGGATATTTGGATACTAATTATCCAGTAAATGCTCATTTGTTTCTCAATTTTCTGCAAAATTGTATGTTTTCACTTCATACATGTTATTTATACATATGTATTAAATTTCAAAATAATAAAGGGAAAAATAACATATGAATTTAAGAATGAATTAAATGCAGCCAAAGAAACAATTAGTTCAAAATAATCCACAATGCATTACAGGAGCTGGGACACATACAGATGGGAGAAACAAGAGGAAAGAAAAGGCAGAGCGCACAGGCTCCTGGAAGTCAGAGAAGTGGGAAGATGCAAGGTTTCAGAGATGATAGCTAATTTTCTAGAACTGATCAAAGACATTGAAGAGTGACAAAAAAGATAGATTAAAACAAATCCGCACTTCAACTCATCATAACGAAGCTTCAGAAAACCAATAGAAGGAGAAAACTCACAAACAGTAGTCAGAGAAATAAAAGTCAGACTCACCTTCAAGAGAACCCCAGTAAGACCGGCAGCTGATTTCTCCAGTAGCCATGGTGGAAGCCAGTAGCCATGGAAAATACTGCCCCCCTGCAGTATTACATGCAACAAAAGGAAGTTCTAACTGCTGAATGGTGGGTGGAGGGCAGAGGTGGTTCCAGAGGCTGAGAAACCAGCCAGGAAGTGAAATGACTGTGTCCTGTAGCAAGAGGCAGTCAGGGAAGGCTTCCTGGAAGAAGTGACATTGAACCTGAGACTGAAAGGGCCCCACTAGGATGATACTGAAGAGAAAAGGCAGGTTTGGGAAGCAGGTGGGCTTAGTCTGGTAAGGGTGGTAGTCAGGAAAATAAAGTCCATGGGTACCCAGAGGAAGGAGACTCTCCTGGCAGGAAGGTTCCCAAAGGAGGAGGTCATGTGATCAGCTTAAGGCAGGTGGCAGAAAGGGGAAGGTCTACAAGAGGGCAGATCCTAGAGCACAACACCCAAGGTTCCAGAAAGCAGTGAAGGTGACAGGAGGCAGAGGAGAGAGCAAGGCTGGGCTGGGAGGCCAAGCAGGCAGGCTGCTCCCTCCCAGGGCCCTGGCAAGTAACGGGGCTTGGCCCATGGCAAGTATGGGCAGACACTAGCCAGACAAAGAGCGAGCCTGTCCCGCACGTCAGTGAGTATGGCCGGTGAGGCTGCGCTTCCCCTGCTGGCCCTCTTCTAGCCTGCACGGACCTACCGCCTGCCATTTCCCCATCAAGTGTGACTCCCAAATCCTAATTCTGCCAAATCTGCAGACTGCAGCGGGTGCAGCCCCGAGCAGGGAAATGGAGGCAGCCAGAGGCAAGGAACCCTTGAAGGGCCTTTTTTATTTTTTTTTCCGGTAGGAGGAGAGACCCAGCTTCCAGTCCCCCGCCTGATGCCCTGCCACCCTCTCCCCGCAAAGGACTTCCAGAGAGGGAGATGCCTGCTCGCATCTGTCCCCGTCACACACAGGGACACCGTCAGCTCGGCCTCGCCGCGTCCTCTGGGGTCCTACATTCAGAGCAAAATGCACAGACATTTAAGGACACAGACCCCCCTCCTGGGAGCGCAGAACCCCCAGGGGTGCCCGAAGCCTGTGAAATTGGAGGAGCTGGAGCTTCTGCGGCTGCTGCCTGCCTGGCGCTGCTCCTCTCCCCAGACCGTGGGCTGAGACACGCGTGTGACTCCCCCCTCCCCCCTGCTCTGAGTAAATGTCAAGTCACATTAGTTATCCCATCTCCTCAGCAGCCCCCCCCCTCCATTTTTGGCAGTGCTGTTTACCTCGCCTGGATCAATCAGCGTTTGGGGAGAAAATAGAAACCCTTTTAGATCCAATTAATGAAAATTGGGCAGCAGGAACGTGCCTGCTTAAAATTTCGCTACCTGGGCAGGGAAAGGCTGCAGACGCGGGGTGGTGGGCTAGGGACCAGCTTGGACCCCATGGCTGTCAAGGCCTAGGATCCCTCTAGGATTAGGAAGAGAAACCCCAATTTCTGAGGAGGCGGGCTGGGAGGGCCCCCCAAACTGGCTCCCAGTCAAACACTGTAGGTGCAGAGCTACCAGCAGCCTCTTTGCTGGCCCCTTGGAGGGCAAGTCGGAAAGTGAAGGACTTGGGGGTGAGGGGCAGGTCAGGAGAGCACAGGCGTGGAAGGAAAGCTGGTCGGGAGACCCCGGGTCCAGCAGTTGCTTTCAGTGGGGTCACTGCCTCCCTGGCTGCAGGGGCCCTAATCCAAGGAGTCACTCACAGCCCCTGTGTTGGCAGCAGCGCCAGGGCCGGGGCCCTGACCGGGCCGTGGTCCTGCTGCTCCGCGCTGGTCAAGGGCAGGTGGGCCTGGTTCTCACTCTCGCTCAGTCACAGCTGCGTGACCTTGGCGAACAGCTGGCTCACCCAGGACGTACTGTTTTTGAGACGCAAGTGACACTTTCGTCGATGAACGGGAGCACGGGGCGATTGCATCGTGGGTGCTGAGAGGAGGCGCGACTGGGCCTCGGCACAGAGTTTGCCCACCTCCCCCACCGAGCCACCCAGCGCCCTCCCTGGCCCCACCGGCTCCCACTCTCGGGGAGTCCTCACCTCCCGGCCCTGAGACTGTCCAGGCTCCAGGCATCCCGAAGGCCCAGACGCCTCTCAGCAGAGATCCGCGGGCACTCGGGCACCTCCTTGCACGGCCAGGGGCACCGGTGACCGGTTCATGGGCCCCTCCCCCCCACCTCCCTGGGAGCTGAAGCCGAGAAGCTAAGCCATGACCCTGCGCAGAAGACCCCGCAATCCACCCTCAGGACCAGCTTCTCCTCACAGCACCCCACGGGCACCCGGGGCAGGCTGGGGAAGGGCAAGAGAAGGACCTTCACTCTGCTCAACCCACCGGGCACGCCGTGTCCCCTGTCTGGGCTCAGTTTTCTCCTCTGTGACGTGGGAGCCGAATCACAGGGCTCTTGCACCCACTTCTTACTGCTCCCCTCCTCTCTGTCCAGGCTGGACAGACAGATGCTCGGCCCCGCACCCCTGTGCGTCTTTCTGTTCATTTCTGTACCCCACCCCATACAGAGGGGGCAATGGGCGTCCTCCCGGAGGGTGCACATGGTGGAAGATGCGGGGAGCCTTATGCCCCCGTCCACAGGTGACCCTTCGTCGGCAGTGGCGCTGGGCTGCTTTCCCTGCACCCCACGGAGGGCCCGGCGGGGTGGAGGACCAGCTGCCCGCAGCGTGACCAGCCCCATGACACCCCAGCCCGGGGCAGGGGCTCCTCCGCAGGCAGCGAGCTCTCTGCCCAGCACGCAGCCTCCCAACTTCCCCACAAAGAGCTGCCCGGGGCCTTGGGGGCTCCGCTCCCGGCGTCTCTGCAGTCCGGGCTAAGACACGGACGACAAATAACCGCGGCTCTAGAAGCAGCGTGATGAGCGCGTGATCGGTGCCAGCCCAGCCATGGGGCCAGCCCACGCGTCTCTGGGCTCAACAAGCAGGCTCGGCTTCCCAGGGGGAGCGGGCGCCCGTCCTGCCCGCCACATGCCAGCGTTGCCTGGTCCACGCCGGGGCTGAGCCCAGGATGGCCGTCCCTGCATCGAGGGTCCATCTCCCTGGGCGGAAGAGCAGGCCAAGCAAGGGGCACAAAGCCCAGTGGCGGGTCATGTGGAAATGGCAGAGGAGGGGGGGGGGACTGGGGAGGAAAGGGGGCGACCCCAGGGGCCCAGCAGGAGAGCTGGGAGCACCCAATGGGAGGCAGGAGGCCTGAGGCTCACCAGGTAGACAAGGCGGGAAAGGTTCCCTCCCCCCACCTGACAGAAAACAGCATCAGGAGGCAGGAGAAGGTGGAGGGGTGCGGGCAGGGGGGAGGCTGGGGAGGCCCAGAGCCACCAGCTCCCTGCCAACCGGGCCCCAATGGCCTGAGGGAGATGCCTGGCTCTGGCACTGGCAGGAGCACCTGGGCTAGTGTGGCACAGATGTCCCTCCTCCCTGCCAGCAGCAGCTGCAGCTTTTGTCGAGGTTCCCGCCTTCAGAGGGGTGCACACAGGAGGGACCCCAGCTGTGCCCAGGTTCCATGTGGCTCTGCCAGGTTCAGAGAGGCCAGGCAGAGAAGGGCGGCTGCCCTGTACCAGCCAGAGCTGAAGGCCCTGACGGTGTCCTGGCAGGGACCGCAGGCCGGGTCCTTGCAGGCCAGGATGTCCCGCGCCGCTGCGCCAGGAGCACTCCCGAGCACTCCCGTGGGGGCGGGCGGGGCCGTGAGTGGGTGCCGTGCAGGTGGGAGCGGGTGTGCCAGTCAGGCAAAGCGAGGCTCTGCTGCAGGAACAAACACTCCCAAACCTCAGCGGCCGCAGGACAAATCTCCTCTCTCAGGAGTGCTCCGCGGCCCTGCTCTGTTCCACACGGCCTCTCAGAGCCCAGGGCCGGGAGGAGCTCCCCGTCTTGTGCCTCCCCTTCCTGAACAGATGGCTGCCCGGCCCCCAGCACCAGCAAAGAGAAAACCGGACCGTCAGCGTTGGGCTTTCGGGGCTTGCGCGGGAAGGGACACCTCACTCCACCGTGGACCTGAGGGCCAGAGGGGTCGGCCCGTGTGGGCACAGGCGGCGTCTGCAGCGAATGTGCCCGTCTCCGCCACAGGCCGCCGTGGGAATTCTTAGGTGGGGTCCCAGGGCTGGGGGCCCCGGGCATGCGAGTGACCCCTCGGTGGTGGACGGGGACAAGGACGTGTCCCCTCACACCCTGCGTCTGGGTTCCCGTGGCTGCTGGTAGGACCCAGCTAAACAGTTCACGGCACTGTCTTTTGTTTTACAAAAATGAGTTGAAAAACGCAAGGACGGAAGCACGAGCCAAAGAGGAGCGAGCAGGGCCTGGGTGTAAGGTGGCCGCCGGCCGGCCTCAGGAGAACCCCCAAGGGCCCCGGACTTGACCCTCCTTTGGACACGCCCCGGGGGGGATTCGGACACCTGGGCTGGAAACTGTGGCACGAAGTGCAAAGTGGAAAAGCACGGACTGCTGGACGGACCGGACAGGTGTGCGGAGAGACAAAGGGGTTTACCTCCTCCCACTTGGGGGGCAGGAGCCCCAGGACACACTGAGTCGGCTACACAGGCACAGTCCCCCCACCCAAGAGTTTTCTTCAGGAACAGACACATCGACAGTCAGAGATTCCCGCCATAGGACACCCCATCCAGTGTCCGGCCGGCGGCAGGGGGAGGGCCGGCCAGCTCTGGGGACGCTGGGCTCACCAAAGAGGTTTGGGGGGGCAGCGCTGAGAGGCTGGACAGCTGGGCAGCACTGACCGACATTGAAGGGCAGCTCCACCCCAGTCATTGCCAAACCCTTTCTCCCCTACCTGCCTCCCATCAGAGGCTAAAGAGCCAGATGCCTTTCCCAGCCTCCCTTGCGGCCAAGGAGGCCTGTTCACATGGCCATGGGGCATGAGGCAAAGTCCGCAGGGAACTTTGAGGAAAGACCTTTCCTCTCTGATGAAAGGGGGCAGGTTGGGAGAGCACTGTCTCAGCACACCCCTGCCCTGCCTCCCGCCACACGCCACCCTCTCCCGCCCCTCGTGGGGTGTGGCCCAGTCCCGACGCAGAGGCTGGAGCTGTGGCAGCCATCTCGTCACCAT